TGCCACGGACCTGACCTTCGTCTGGACCTGGTACTGTCGATGATTTGGTAGAAATCACTAACGTTGATATCCCTGACGTAGTAGGTATGTAGACGGAGTTTGGCTGTTTGGTTTGGGAAGGTCTTTTTCTTTTGGGTCGTATTAACGAAGCCTGATATATTTGTTTAAGTCTCCCTAACTCTGCCGAAATGTCTGAATACTGTCACCGTCCTCCTCTCCTAAACCTTGTTTCTTCTCTTCTTCTTCTTCTTGTCGTTTTCTTCTTGCCTTTTATTCTTTCTGTTGCAGTTGAATGAGAAAGGTTTGTTCTGCTTCTTTCTAATGTTGAAAAAATTTGCCCAATTCTTTCTTTTGTCTCCGTTTAAAATCCTCGATGTACGGTAAGGAAGGTGCTGGTAACGGAACAAATGTTTGTGAAGAAGAGAGAAAATCCACTAAATCCCATTTAAAATTATTCTCTTCTGGAAATAGGACAGTGTTTGCTTTGGTATCACCTGCTATGTCATCACTTCTCGTTTCCACGTCAGGTGCACCCCAATTTATCGTCTTCTTAGATGCACTGTACACAGACGCTAGTGCACCTATATAGGGATAATGACGTCACGTGCAGCTCTCTTCGGATTGGAAAATATACTCTGCATTGTGATTGCATTTTGTGACGCTTGTTAGGATTGGTGAAATAACTCAATCCGTTTTGATCCACTCTTCCACTATAAATGTCAGCGGTTCACCTCATTCCCTTCACCTGTTATCGTCAAAAGATGTAGACTAAACTAAAATCGTCTAACCTCCTATAGCCGATGCTATCCCATGTATGTCAAATCATCATGGGCTATCAGATATCTGATACAACCCTTTGGAAACAAGGAAGTATGTGGAAAGGCACGACTGTCTGAAAAGAGTCTTAATCAACGGCCCAAAGGTCAGACGAATTTTGAGGAAGATAAGAAGATCCGTGCGATGCACTTCTCTGGTAAATGAATGCTGTTAGCAAAAAAAAAAGAAATAAAGGACCTTTTCAGGGTCACTCCATTGCCTCGAAAAATATTTATTCTCTCTTGCCTACATATTTTAGTCTATTTTTGGTATGATAGATTGATGTTCATCAGTCTAAGTTTATGTAAAAAGTCTATATATCTAACCTGTCTCTAACCCTGTCTCGATGTATATGTCTCTTTGTCCTTAGAGTAACGAGTATTTAGGTCAGCCCTTAGTCACACAGTTCATTTCGATTGAGGTCAGCTACATGCAACATTGTTGCCCAAGTCCAGTACCGTGACGTCACCTCTTTAAAATTCCTATTGACTCCAGACAGGCCCAATCCATTGTCTCTACACATTCCCTCTGTTTAATCACAGGAGTCTGCAGCTTTATCAACAAAGCACGACGAAATTTCTGTCAACATGAAATCACCTTAACGGCATTATAAAATAACACAAGGAATACAAGCGTGACCGCAACCCTCCGCTCGATTCGAATCTTCTCACGCGTTTTTTATCGCTTCAGTATCGCACAAAGACTGAAAATCTACTCATATTCATTCATAAAACAGTAATGTACCAACGCATCACTCTCAGACGACCATCTCATGAATCCAATATGGCAAATTAACCTTTATTTTCAGTGTCAGGAAAAATGAACCATGCCAGGAAGTAGCCAGTTTCTACTAGTTTCTATCCTGCAGTAAATATATGCGTTAGGGTCTAATAATCGTTTCGAACACGGCGCAGAATAGGTTCTCTTTTAATAATAGGCTATAATATTTGAAAGTGATAATGTCATCAACCGTTATTTGTACAATCAGAAATTTAACTACATATTTCTGTTCTGGAAATTTAAATCAAAATTATTAAATGATGGAATCAGAAATAAAAAAAAAACAAAAACAAGTTAAACATTTTATCTTGTAAAATTAATTTCATGACGTTATTTAGCCCGTGGTAGAAATGATAATGTAGTTTAATTCACCCTCTGCTCCATGTTAAAATCCCGTAATGACCCAAAAGTGAAAACGACCAAATTTAACATAGTTGTCCCATTGATTGTATAATGCCACTTTCACTACACGTGTGAAATAGTTTACGTAATTCAGGATATGATGGCTTAATCTTTAGTCACATGATTTTGTGTATCAGTTGATATCTTTAGTAAAAGTACATATCATTTAACCTATTTTTTTTCTGCCATATAATTATTCTTAGTTCACAAAGTCCTCCAGTATTCAAAAGGACCTGCTCCATTGCTTTTAAAATGTCAGCAGGAATAAGCTTTCAAAAATAACTTGGTGTACAGGTTCATGTTTTGCTTACCCGTTTTTTATCAAGTATTTGTTGGAATGTACTTTTCCGCCTTAAAGTATCTCTGTTCATGATTTGGTGAAATGTTTTGTTTCATACATATGTGCTATTTGTTTTGAATGGGTCATCGTCAATTAAAACAGTTTTGCATTCACATGAAATCCCCATCTAAGTACATTAAATGCTACTAAGCAATCTTACAACGGAATGGTACACTCGCAATTAATATATTCTCATGTTACGCCGTCTCCTGTATATGGCGTCATCAACACGACCCAATTAATCGATTCTGACAAATCTCATGTTACGCCGTGTCCTGTATGTGCTCATTGATTTATCATTGTCAAACGTTAAAGTGCAGTTATCAAAAATGTTTAATGGTGTGTTTGGGGAATAAATAACACATGAGAAACAAATTTTATGCCGTAAAATATATTTCAAGCGCAAACTTGATTAAGGTTAGTTGATCAATTTATAGAATTAAACTGAATGGCAAGATAGTGGTAAATTGTTTGTTTTCAATTTGAACCCTTAGAGAGGTAGAGACACCATTATGCCTAAATCATATTACTTTGGACAGTATTTCGCTGCTTTAGGACGGGAATCCCCCGATGTTTAAAAAGAATCTAAACAAAAGTAAAAAGGTACAAAATATTTTGTCCAAGAAAAATGCATAGATTGATTGATGTAATGGCTCCAATATTGTATCAACAATTATGCGATCTCATTACTCCAATTCTGGTTACAATGAGCATAGGACAGCCTGTAGTCATTGATACTGTATTTGTCTTTCAGATTTTTAGAGATGAAGTTTAAGTCATCTTGATAATTTTGAGTGTTGTCTCTTTTCATCTCCTCTGTGATATCGGTAATAATCCTGGAAGGAAATAGTTTACCTCATAGTCAGCTTGTCACGCTTTGCACGTGAACACTTTGCTATCTACTATTTTTTTTTAATATATTTTGTCATTTCGTTTAGATTTTCTAAAGCAAACATATCCAGTAACGTATATGTTTTAATCCATAATGTTCAAATAAGTCTTTTTTTATTTAAAAAAATGAAATCTTTCTACATTGTTCTGCACATATGCAACGCAACACAAACTCTACATTGATACAAAGGAGACAAACGTTTCCAAATTTTGTAAAAACTTTGCAGACCAGCCACGAATTGATCACAATGTTTCAACGGTGGTATCAGTGTGTGTCTGTGTGTCTGTATGTGTGTTTGTCTGTTTTTGTGTCTATCAGTGTGTGTGAGAGAGAGAGAGAGAGAGAGAGAGAGAGAGAGAGAGAGAGAGAGAGAGAGAGAGAGAGAGAGAGAGAGAGAGAGAGAGATTTATCTGCACATCTAATAAAAGCAAACCTTAACAAAAGAAATTATATCCAAGAAACTTTTGGTGTCAAAGTAAAGATTTTTTGCAACCATTTAAAACGCAAACTGTTGGTTGTAGAAATTAGGTCATCACGATTTTTTTTTAAAAAAAAATATACTAATATAAACCGAACTAGGCTAACTTTAAGTTGAGTTCCTCTGGCACAATTAATATTTATTCTACATTCACAAGGGTCATAACTCTGTCAGTCATATTTGAGAGATTGTAAAAAGAATATATCAAACAAGTAAGATTCATCTTATCGATATATAATTGATTTGCCAATGTAGTTTTTGTCTTATTCTTTAATGATATTCCATCGAAAATAAATTATAATTAATTATTGGCACCCTATTAAAATTGTGGCGATATCGTCAATGTGAATCTGTCGGAAAACTGACCAGGACTGTAACTCAGGCGAATACATGACAACAATTGAAGAATAGCTGACATTTTCACAAGACTCATTTCGAACGAAATAAGAAAACCGGTAGCTTAAGATGAGTATGAAAAAAAAACAAATGTTTAAATATAAAAGATCGATTTTTAACTTTGATATCCAATAAATTACGTAAATGGGTAAATTATAAATATTTGAAAAAATTTCTCGTACAATGTGCGTATGAAACTTCCCATAATGGAATCTGTGCAACAACAAAAAAAAAAAAACCAGCAAAATTCCGAAATTAAAGATATTGACCTATTTCCTGTTCACAATTTTCAGCTGTTCATATTTTATCTTTACTGAATTACATCTCGTAAATGTCGCATCATCAATATAAAATATTAATTATCGTTCAAAAAGTATCTATAAACTCAGATGTATGAAATGTGTCATCTGTATTTTAAAAAAAACGCCATCTAACAGCACTTGCCTGGTTTGTTTATGAAGTGTTTTGTAGTACCTATAAGACAAAATAAATTTTAAAAACTAATATGTTCAACATGACTAGGTCAATTATAATCTGTCATTTAAACAAAGTGAAACAATCATGACCTCATTAGTTGTCCTGGTTCCGATCCCACTGACACGTCGATCAAATATCCATTATTGATCTAAGAATATTTCTAGCTATTCCATGAATAGTGACCGACTATTTTGAGCAGCCAACCCTCAAACATAGAAATTTTTCAATTATCGTTGTATACCGGAAAACAAATCAGTACGAGACCTTTTGGTTTATAATTATGTGCTCCAAATAAAATTATATCATTAGTATATATACGGTATTGTTGATACATATAATTGGGTGGAGTCTGTCTATTGTATTGTAATGATACGGATAATGGGGTGGAGTCTGTCTATTGAATTGTACCCTTTATGCACGGCAGCGGTGGCCTAGTGGTTAGAGCATCCGCCCTGGATGCGGAAGGTCGCGGGTTCGAACCTCGTCCGAGTCATACCAAAGACTTATAAAAATTGTACTCACGGCTGCCTTACTATGCTCTCAGCATTAAGATGTTAGTGCTAGGACTAGTTGGTCTGGTGTCAGAATAATCTGACTGGCTCGGACATGATGCTACATATCTGAAAAATTCCCCAGTGCTAGACATCACAATAACTGCTACACAGCAGACATCATAGTAATATGAGTGAAAGTTTGTAAAGCTACTTTGGAAATCCAACCACACAATCACACAAGGTAACAGGGTGGAGTCTGTCTGATGTATTGTACCATTGATACGTATCATATGATCGAGTGTGTTTATTGTATAGTAACCTTCATACGTCTCAAAGGGTGGAGTGTCTTGTATAATGCTCTTCGTATGTATAATAGGGTGTCTGTCTATTGCATTGTATCACTGATACGTATAATAAAGTGTAGTTTATCGATTGTTTTGTAGTTTTGATAGGTGTAATAGGGTGGACTCTGCCTATTGTGTTATATTCTTGATACCTATAATAGAGTGGAATCTGTCTATTGTGCTGTATCTTTGATACGTATTTAGGCTGGAGTCTACCTATTGTATTGTACCCTCAGTGCGTATACTAGGGTGTAGTCTATTTTCCTGCATTCAATACTATAATATAATGTAGATTTACGCTATCTACCAAGTTGCCTCGAATAAATATATTTGTAATTTACGGAGAGGAAAAAAAATATGACACTCGTTCCTCTCTTGACACATACCTTTGCCCGTCTTTGCTGACTGTAATTTTATACATAGAATGACACGTTCAGGCCATTTGGTAAATTTCAACAATATTAGACAATAATCCAGTCTGTTAATGTTACCTGTAAATGTTCCAACATAGTTTGGACCTATTATATTGAATTTTAAGTAATTGAAATTTATAATTTTCTCTTTTCCCACTAATAACAGTGAGGCTTTGTTAATAATATATCTACCTGTTATTCTGATCCATTTTCATGTTACTAACAGTATACAGTAGAGTGCAACTGACTCGTATCACAGAAAAGTATAACGTCTTACCCCAGTGTGATCCATCAAATTTATCTTAAAACCGTTTAATCGCTTAATGTGAATGCTTTTAAACATATCTTCCATCCAACATTGGGAAAGGTAAAGGCATAAATTTGCGTCTTTGCAAGACGTTATCCTCATCCCAACTAGCAAATTTCGCTTACTTGACACTATTTCGTGTTAGTAAGGCTAGGCGTCTTATATTTGGTATCAATACCACAAACACTAATTTAAGAAATGTCTGTTTAACTTAAAACGTCTTGACATAAATCTCTACGAAGTTCACCTTACCTGGCACGTGACTGCTGGATGATTGTCATACCGAAAGTAAACAAATTTATGGGGTTTTATCTGAGCACGATTCGGTCAAAACTACTCTATTACGACATCTGGAGGGACGTTCAGGAGATTCAATTAAAGCATATAATTTATTCATTTATTAATTTAATGAGCTTTTTACAGATGTATACCCCATACATATATATATATATATATATATATATATATATACATATATATATATATATATATATATATATATATATATATATATATATGTGTGTGTGTGTGTGTGTGTGTAATATACTGACAACGAACAGTGCAACACTAGTATCCAACTAGCCTGAGCACTTTCGACTTTTAATAAGTCTTTTTCAAAGGCATATGCAAAACATAGACAAGACAAACAAATAAAACAAAACCCATAGTGTCTGCGGAACTCTACATGTCTGTTTCTACATGGATCAATCCTTTAAAAGCAATATTTTTTAACTATTTATATCAACTTCTTGGGGATGCTAAATAATATATATATATATATATATATATATATATATATATATATATATATATATATATATATATATATATATATATATATATATATATATCCTTTTGATCATACTTAGGGGATGGGTTGGTGAGAGGCAGGTATTTGTATTTGCATCAATCACACATTGCATGATTGTCAAAAGAAAGAAACGGTGGCAAATAGTGTGCAACTCTTAATCGGTAGGATGGTTCAAAAATCCCAATTTCTTCGTAAGGTTGATAGTTAATATATGTACTATATTTACTAGATAAATTAATTTTGCTGTAACATGAATTAAAGCCAGCGTTTGAAATGGGAGCAAATGGCCGTATTTCATCTGTTGAGCAGGAACCTGAAGGTAAATTTCCAATACTGCAAACATTAACATTCTCACTTTTACCGTGAGAAAAAGTTAGAGTTAAAGAACTTTATTGCCTATTTAAAACAAAACTCTATTGCTACGACTCTGGTCTAAAACAATATTAAAAAAGAAAAGAAACCTACAGGTGTAGTGAAATCAACAACTAATTTATTTTCTAAGTTGCAAAATGAAAAGTAAAGAAACTCAGTATTGTTAATTCAATCTTAAATAATTCAAATTGTCCTATCACAATTTTAAAAGTATAGACGTCTTCAGTGTAGCAGTTTATAGTGATTCCTATCACTAGAAAATCATACCGAAAACATATTCCGAATTAAAACCAATAGTCTAGAATATCAAGATGTACTAATAGGCTTCAATGTCCTGATATACAAATAGTCGTGAATTTCCAGATGTACCACAATTATGCAAGCCAGAATGTCTTTGAATTAATTCACAAAAATTCCAAAATAGCGTGTTAAACAAGTCAATGAGCACTTGGTAATTCCACAAAATGATTTAAATTAATACATTTACAATTGAACACAAATGTAAATGATTTCACATATTAATTTTAAAACAGGAATGAATGATTTGTTTCCCAAATGCCTTTTATATACATCTCTACTTGGCCTACGTTGTCAAAAGGTGTTCTAAAGAACTGGTCACTCTAATGGCCATAGTCTTATTGCAAACAAGACTGACCTTGAACTTTTGCTACATAAACAAGTCTATTCACTGCTAAGAACATGCCAAAATTCAGGCGTGCAAAAGCTCTCTCCAGTCCGGACAAAAGTCAAACACAAAATATTAATTAAATATTATGAAATGATAAAACGGCAATTCCTATGACTTGTTGAAAAAACAACTACTATAACTCAAGATGTTAACCTGATTTTGACTCTGTTCTCATAAAACTTCTAAAACAAAACCGGACCAGACCATCAAAGGCTTCTAGAATAACATAGGACAAGGTCTCTCAAAAGCTTTTAGAATAATACAGATCCAGACCCCTCATTTAACTTTATTCTCCTCCCAATGAATATGCTGTGTTTGTCAGTTTTGAACAAGATTTACAAGTCTGGAGTAACATTTCGTACTCGACATGCCAAGTAGAGTAATATAACGGGCCAGATCGCTAAGTACAAAATGCAAGAATCCTAAGTGTGAAGGTTTTAACAGTGAGACATTCATAGTTTCAGCTTATGTCGGCTCCTAAGTGTCAATGTTTTAACAGTGAGACATTCATAGGCTCCGCTTATGTCAGCTCCTAAATGTCAATGTTTTAACAGGGTGACGTTCATAAGGTCCACTTATGTCAGCTCCTACGTGTCAATGTTTTAACAGGGTGACGTTCATAGGGTCCGCTGATGTCAAAACTTATTTTTTCTTCGAAGCTCAGAATCTATGTAGTCTGTCTTCTAAACATTGATATCGACCATTTTATAAATGTTTTTTGCTGTATTTAATGTAAACACGAAATCTAATTTGATCGCTATTTACCTTCTTTTGTATTCGAATTGGTTTAATTATCCTCTACCTTTCTGATAGACAAGATTGGCTCCCCTCGTAACTGAAAAATACGGCTTGGTATGACAATGATGAAAATGATCTACCTCAATACAAATTTCCATTTTATGGAACGATCAGGTGCTTTAATTTCACAAAACGTGTACAAACATTTGTAGGTCATACATATACTCAACGGATACTGGAAAATAACTATTGAATACAACGAGCATGTGCTTGGATCATCTGAGATGTGACAAATTATATATATTTAAGCTTTCTCCCAAAAAAAATTGATTGGCATCCCACTGTTGAGCAAAATTAATATACATCTATTGTCCAGGTATTTTCCAAAACTTGTGTTTAACTCGGTCGTAATCAGTATTTTTGAACATCTCGGCAAAGGCAGTTTGAAATAGTTTGAATTAAATGTATCCGTGTGGGCTAACACGGTGTAGATAATGTGTCTAGTTTATGTTAGTTGCTCTAAATATAGTGTAAATCGATAACAATGACAAGCCGTTAAGTTTATGTAAACTCCCGTCATTCTCTACCGGATGACCCCAAACTGCACGCCGCGCACCGTTTGGGATATTCCTACTGCTGTACTGTATTAACATCATTTAGGGCGGCCGCAAACGGATGCCGACCAATCCATCAAACGGACCAAATTACGTCTTGAGTATATAAGGAAGGCTGGAAACAGATCTTCGATAATGTTCGTAACTCAACATTGCTTTTTAACTGGATTATAACTTTGGAGAGAAAATACAACGCAGAAACGTGCAAATATCAAGGTAAGTACAACTGCAGCTTTGTAATATATCAGTTTAAAAATTTATAATTGACTTTTTCTATAGATAAAAGCAATGAATCTTAGTTCAAGTGAATGGACTCTACATAGATGGAATATCATATTGCCTTGTACGGATTCGTTGTGAAGGCATTAATGACAGATAAGCAGTATATATTTTAATGATAAATCTGAAACACCTAACGATTCATTTATTACTGGCAAATAAGGACATTAAAGTTTGCATAAATATACATATCTATAAATATAGTTTTATAAACTATAAATGAAATACAAAATTACATCTTGGTCGTTTTACAATGTATATGTTCAAATCCTAATGCTTGAATAAAGATCAAAATAACCGTCTCTGTTTCAACCTGCGTCAATCGGTTAAATTGGTCGACTTATGAGAATAAATAGGCATAGATCGGACAATGACGTCATAAAAAAGCATGCCAATTCAAATTCAAACCCAAATTTTGTATTCATTGCTAAAA